CCCCGCGGGCGGAGCGCTGCTCCCGCCCGCCTCCGCCGCCGCCACCGCCCATCCCCGCGGCCGGCAGGGAGGGAGGAGCTGGAAAAGCGCTCCGGAGCTCGGCCCCGGGGCAGGGAGATCCTGGCTCGGCCCAAAACCCGCGGCAGGTCACGGCTCAGGGCACCGGACAGCAGCGGGGAGAGCGAGGGGGGAAGGGGGAGATGAGGGCACGCATTGAAGGGTGCAGGGGATATGCACATCCCGGGATGAATGTATGGGTTTACTCGGGGATATGCACGTGTGGGAAACCCAGGAGTTCAGTTCTGAAGGTGGCTGCACAACGTTGAATTTTTGATCATATTTTGGAGGGAAAGAATTGGGATTCCGGCAGCATCTGTTAGGGAAAGGGCAGAGGTTGGTGGATGAGGTGGACAATACAAGCCCCACAAGGAAGGTTGGTGGCAGGACATGGACTGGTCCTGTGTGGGTGGGGGATGCTGCAGGGGACCAGGCTGCAAGTCCTGGCTGCTCTCCTGACCCTCCAGCCACATCCTCGGGCCACAGGCACGTGTGGGGCGGTCTCGGTGCAGAGGGACAGAAGAAGTGAGTGGGACAAGTCTCCAGTCTGACTTCTGCTCTTGGTTGGCCTGCCAGGCTCACAGGACCACCTTGGCAGTGTTGCTGTCCTCACCACGTCCCAGTGAATGCCAGCGTCAAGGATTTGCTCTCCTTATCTCCTTATCCTTATCTCCTGTCCCTTTCCTCCAGTTTCTTCACCCCTCTGCTCTGCTCCACAGACATGCGTGCGTTTTGGCAATCGAGGCACTGGCAGCAATTTTACAGGTCCCCATCCCAGAAACCCTGCTGTCCCTGACCTCTGCCGCAGGTTGTGGTTCATCCCCACCCACAGACGCCCTCATTTCCCTGCACAGCTGCTCGGGACTTTGCAATTTTCTGCTTGTGTCAGAGGTTTTCAGTTCACCGAGGGTTTTCCTTGTCACCTGCAGACTTTCACTTTCAGGCTATAAAAAGGGATTCAAACCAGCACTAAAACCATCTGGGCTTTATCTTCCCTCCTGAACAGAGCAGCTCTGCTCAAGGTCGCTGGTGGGAAGCTCTTGGGGCTCTGCAGCACTTATCTCCCTGCCTAGCTCAGAGATGGCTTTTCACACGGCAAGATTAGGATGGGAAGGGCTGTGGGGAGAAGCAATATCTTTATTAGAGCAGCTCGGGTAATTGGAAAAAGGCAACAGCGCTCCCAGCTCTGCTTTCCTTTCCTGGGACTCCAAAGCCACATGTTCATCTTGCAGAAGTTGTTCCCCCTCCACAGCTGCTCTGGAAAATCATCCCAATTCCTCAAAAACACCGACAAAATTCCCCTGTGGATTTTTGCTTCCCATTGAGTCTCTCTTGGGACAGTCATGTGTTGCTGCACAAGCTCCAGGACTTCCCTTTCTGAGCAGCTCCATGTTTTCCCTTTTGTCCCCCAGGAGGAGCCCAGACCTCATTCCTCAGTTTCCCCATCAAGTTTTGATGGGAAAGATGTGAAAATGACCTCCCATGTTGGACTTTCCCGATAGCAGGGGAAAGGGAGAAGAAAAGGGTCTGAAAGGAGGTGAGGGGTGCCAGGAACATTTCTGGACGTGGGATGGCCTTGGCCGTCGCTTCCTGCTGCTCCCATGACCGGTGACTGGGGGCGATTACACAGCAGCGAGTGCTGGAAGGCTCAGAGAGGAGAGCGGGGGCTCTGAGTCACCCCCAGTGCCGGGAATTTTGGGGTGCTGGGGTACCGGGGGCTCTCGGATACCCGGCTCCGTGCAGAGAACCCAAATGGAACCCAAATGGATCCCAGGCCGTGCCTCGGCGTTCAAGGCGAGCGAGTCCCGACTGTCACAGACCGCGGGCGTGGGGGGCTCCCGGCGCCTCTGGGGGTGCGGGACCTGCCCCGCTCCGCTCCACGCGGGGTTCTCGTCCCACGCCGCCTCCACCGGGCACCGGGACCCCTCCGAGCAGGGTAAGGGCCGGAGGCGGCGGCTGCAGCGCGGGGAAGGGCCGGGAGAGGGCGGCGGGAGCCCGGGCACGGCGGCCGGAGCGCTGCGGGGGCAGCCAGCCCCGTCACTGCCTCTGTCCGCCTCCATCACTGCCTCCATCGCCGCCTGCATCCCGCTCCATCACTGCCTCCATCCCTGCCTGCATCCCTGCCTCCATCCCTGCCTCCATCCCGCTCCATCATTGCCTCCATCCCTGCCTCCATCACTGCCTCCATCCCGCTCCATCCCTGCCTCCATCCCTGCCTGCATCCCTGCCTCCATCCCGCTCCATCACTGCCTGCATCCCGCTCCATCACTGCCTCCATCCCGCTCCATCACTGCCTCCATCCCGCTCCATCACTGCCTGCATCCCGCTCCATCACTGCCTGCATCTCTGCCTCCATCCCGCTCCATCACTGCCTGCATCCCTGCCTCCATCCCGCTCCATCACTGCCTCCATCTCGCTCCATCACCGCCTCCATCCCGCTCCATCACCGCCTCCATCCCGCTCCATCACTGCCTCAATCCCGCTCCATCACTGCCTCCATCTCTCTCCATCACCGCCTCCATCCCGCTCCATCGCCGCCCTGCCCATCAACATCCCCTCCTAAACCAACCCAACCATCCCTAAATCACCTCCATTACCATCTCCCCCACACCCAACCTCGGTAAAAGCCAGGCTGAGATTTTGGGGAGCATTTTGCAGCTCGGCACCGACCCTCACAGCCGAGCATTTCCAGGTGTCGTTACCCCCTCCGGGCAGCTTGGGACGGACAAGACCTCAGAGTGGAAGAGGTCACCTGAAACCCATTACACCGCACCTCGAGATGTGCGAATGAGACTCTTCCAAACCACCGCACCCATCCTGCAAACAGAATGGGGCAGAGCAGAGCAGTTAAGGAGGGAATCGGGAAGGCTGGAGGCTGGTAAAGGGTTTTACACAGCAGAAGAAAGCAGCAATGGTTAAAAGCTGAGGGCAGTGCAGAGCGGAAGGGAAGCAGCAGCGCCTGAGTGAGTGAGTGTGTGTGTGTAAGAGCATCTGCGCAGCTCCACACACACAAACAAAAAACAAAAAAAAGCAGAAGTCGGGGGTAGTGAATTAGCAGTTGGAGACTGAGAAAAATCCATACAGGAAGCAAAACAAAGGAGAAATCTCAGGCCATTGGGGCTGAGGGCGCTGAGAGGGCGTTTTGATGGGAAAAGATGTGAAAATGACCTGACGTAGATGAAGTTGATAAAGGAAAGTGCGATCGCTGGGAGCCGGGACAGCCGCCCGCGGGAAGGGGGGCAGGCACCCGGATCCGCCGGCCGCTCCTCCGCTCTCAGGAAAAGAGCCAGAAGGGGCAATTATGCATAAAGCAACGGCGGGAGGAATTAAAAAGCAGATTTCAAGGTAAGATTTTATCGTGTCAGCTGCTCCCAGCCACTTCCTTGTGGGGTTTGGGAAAGGCTGATTGGACGCAGAGCCACCTGGATCCCTGGCGATGCCCGAAGGGGCTCTGGGGTTATGGCTCAAATCCGATCCGGGGGGGTTGCTGAGGCTGCAGAAGGGCAGCAGGGCTCTGTCCAAACCGGCTGCGGTCCAGGGGTGGCGCAGCTCCAGCGGGGAGTTCGCATTTCAGTCTTTTCTTCGCTGGAAATGGATTGGGAATGGATGGGGTGAACAACTGAGGTGTATTTAAAGCGCCACAGAGGATGGACCCTCACAGATGTTCACAAACTGCTCAGTGTGTCCCAGCCCACTCTCCAAGGGCAAATTCCTGCAGCTTCCACCTTCCCACCACCCGCAAATCCATTGTGTGGTGTGTGTGAAATCCCAGTGCCACATCCTGGGCTCTGCCGTGACTTTTGCCCGCCCAGTGTGAGTGGCCTCTGCGTGGGGATCTGTCCCTGTGTCCCTGGCACTGCTGCCATTCCAGACAAGGCTTTGTAGGAACTCTTGGTACAATCGGTAACACGAGTGGGGGATGTCAATGGGCCAGACGTGACAGTGCAGACCACAGTCCAGCGCTTTACTGGAAAAAGGTGCAGTGGAAGTTTATTTTTGCTCCATTTCCCACGGCAGAGTGGGCGGCTGCGGCTCTGCCGCGGGGCCCCTGCTCCCCTGGGATGAGATGGCACCAGGATGGCAGCGGGGTGCCTGAGCCTGACCCGTGTCCACCCACACCAGTCCCGGTCCTGCTCGGCACCGCTGTGACCGCTCTGTCACGGCCGGACCCCGCGCCCACGGTGCGGGACAGCTGTGGGATAACTGTCCTGATCCGCTCTGGCTGGACGTGGGCAGCAGCCCGCGCTGCCTTTCGCCGCAAGATAATTTGGAAAATTATGAGAAGTGGGGTTTGAGACGGCATCTGGCCCACTGCTGCCCCCGCACAGGTCCCTCGGGTCCCAGCCCGCGGAGCTGGGGGAGACGGGGCCGAGCAGGAGCAGGAATGGGGAATTTTCCTCCCGAGCCTCCAAGAGCTCCACGCTCGGGCTCTCCCCCGACTCCCGGGGGGCTGGGGCGGACACCCGCAAATCCACGGAGAAAACATTCTAAAAGTCGTAAAAACTGAACAGATATATGTATATATATGTAAAAATTAAAATTAAATCCACCCCGGGGAGCGCGGCCGGGCTGTTTGTGCCGCTGCCTCCGCGGGCGCGGATGCGATAAGATAAAGGCAGGAGCGGGGAGGGGCGGCGCGGAGCCGGGCGCACCCGCGGAGCCCGAACGGACAGACGGACAGACACACATATAGACAGTCACACGAGCGAGCGGACGGACCGACGGACGGGGCGGCCCCTGCGCTCCGCCCCCGCGTAGCCTCCGCCCCCGGCCGCGCCGCTCCGCTTTACATAACCCGTCCGGGGCCGGGGTCCGCGCCCCGCGCCTCCGCCCGGCGGAAATGCGGAGCCGCCTGCCCCGGTTTCCTGCCTGAGCCGAGCCGTGCTGAGCCGTGCTGAGCCGTGCTGAGCCGTGCTGAGCCGTGCGCCCCGTCCCGCCCGCCCCGTCCCGGGCGCTCCGCCGCTCCATCATGGGCGAGCGGCAGCCGGACGCCTTCTCCTGCAGGTAACCGCGACCGAGCGGCCGGACGGGGACGGGGACAGGCTGGGCTGGGCTGCGCCGGGACGGGCTGGGCTGCGCCGGGACGGGACGGGCGGCCCCGGGAAGCGGCCGCGGCAAAGCGAAAGTAGCGGCGGGAGGAAGCAGCGAGGCGGCCGCTCCGCCTGTGCAGCCCCCGGAGCTGCCCCGGGCTGGATTCGCTCACTCGGGGAACTCCGGTGCTCCCGGTCCGGGGTAGTGAGCCCCTTCCTCGCACAGCAGCCCCGTTCCCCTCACCCCTTTTCAGTGCCTTTTCCTTGGGCTGCCTCTTTCCAGGGACTGCTCACGCGTGGGGACCCGTGGCCCCGTTTTCCTCGTGGGCACTCCCTGTTCCTCTGTGGGTGCCCCCATCGTGGGGTCCCCCGTCCTTCTAGCAGCACAGGACCCCAAAGCACCCTTCTTTCGGGATCCCTCGATGTCCCCATTTCCCAGCATCCGCATTTTGGAGATCCCAGAGCCGGGAGTGCAGCACGCAGGGAGCCAGCCCTGCTCCTCTCCTCTGCCTCCCCCCGGACCCCCGCAGCCCCTGCCGTGGGGCTGACCCCTCTGGGAAGGTGCAGGATCAGTGGGGTGATGCCCACCTGCCCCATTTGTGGGGCCCTGCTCTGCCCGAGGGGGCCGTGCCTCGCCTCTGCCCCCGTGCCCACCGCGAGTGCCAAGCAGAGCTGGCACCTGGAGCCTGCCAAGCTGCTCCTCTGACTCTCTGCTCCCTGCAGACTTTGTTGGCCCCGCGGCTTGGCAGGGGCTCGGAGCACGAGGCCGATGCACCCGCGGTCAGCATCCCCGCAGCCCTCCCATGCCCAGCCAGCGTGCCCGGTCCTGCCTGTGCCAAACCCCGTCAGGGTCACCCACGGAGAGCCTGGAGCCGCTGGCTCATGGCAGTGACACGGTCATTGCAGCCCGGGCTGGGATTTACTGTCAAGGAAACCGGGATGAGTTGCCGAGCTGCGATTTCGATATTGTTGTAAATTGATTCAAGATGTGCTGGAGCTGTGGGCTGGTGGCCTGGGGACTCCGTGGAGCTGCAGCCAGAGGAAGAGGTGGCCTGTGAGGGGACCTGGCGCTGCCAGCTCCTGCGTGTCCTCGCTGCACTTGGATTTTCTGGCAGGATTGGTGTTTTAAGGCCTACGGAATTAGTGGCAAATTCACTTTGACTTGTTTGGGACTAGAACAATGCTTTGGCTTTCTTTTTAACTTGTTTTTGGAGCAGGAGAGACTCATCCCTGTGCATTTTCCCCTCCCCAAAGCTTCTCCTATTTTCTCTAACTTTTATGTATTTATTGCCTCTGGTAAGGTCTGGTTTGCTTTCACCAGAGCCCACAGGGCTGCAGGTCTGTGCTGTGTTGGAAAGGTTGGGGTGCGGGTGCCAGCGGCTTTTGAGGGCTCTTCCATCCTCTGCCAGAGCAAATCCTCCCCACCCACACACCCATGGGGCTGCTGGGCACCGTGGAGGTGTCGTGACAAATCCCAGTGGGTGACACAAAGTGAAAGTGCAAGCGCTCATCGCTGCTGGGGTTTGTGGTGCCGCCGCAGCTCGCCGAGGAGAAAGGCCCAAATCCAGCAATCCCCGGGGAGCTGCTGTGGCCAGCCAGGCTGGCTGGGAGCTCAGCTGCTCCCTGCTGTCCCCAGGGACCCCCGGGCAGCTGCTCCCCCCCAGGAGCACTCCCTGCACCCGGGTGCTCCCACGCCTACACCACAGCGATTCATTTCATGCAGCAAAACAAGCCCTGTCGAAAGAGGCCACCCCGCTGCCGGGCTTTTCCCCGCAGGCAGTGGGTGTAGGAGAGTGTGATGGTGTAAACCAGGCTGCAAGGTGCCAGACACCACGGTATGGAGGCAGGCTCAGGGGTTTTTGGGGAGCTGGGCTGGCCACAGCTGTTTGTGCTGGTGGGTTGCTGTGGGCCGAGCCAGAGCGGAGCTTGGATTTGACCTGAGATGGGTTTGGGTTGTGTCTGTCCTGTTGGAGTGGTCAGGGAAAGCCAAACAGGTGAACTTTCCTTGGATTTGAAGTGCTGTAACATCACCCACATGCCCAGAGGTCTGTGGTGCTGCTCAGTCCACACAGAGCTGTAAATTAAGGCCGGTTTGGGTCTTTAATATAGAAAGTTGTGTAGTGCCAGGAGGTGAAATGAGAGGAGTGTGTATGTCCTGTGACAAAGGGGGAGAAAGAGGGCAAAATCTGCCTTCCCACACTGGCTTTTAAACTGATTTCCTAAAGCTTGTATGGATGTGTGGAATTGGGAGATCTCTCTGTCCTGCTCCTTTCTTGCTTTTTATCTGGCTGGTTTGGTTCAGCCAGAAAAGAAAGAGGGGAACTCCTGAGACCCTGTGGGGTTCTCCAGCTTGTGTGTAAACAGCCAGAGGGTCACAGGGAGCGATGGTGCTGTGCCATCACCCTCTGTGAGACCCAGAGAATCCTCACCATCACAGGGGGCTGCTCCAGAGGGAGGAGGAGGATAATGCTGGGCAGTTTCTGCTGTGGATTGTGCTGGCACTGGCTTTGGCTGGTTTATAGTGATGCTGTGAATGTGTGGGTGTATCCATGAATGTGTGGGTGTCTCCCACATCCCGAGGCTGCTGCCAGACCCTTCCCCACCTCTCCCCCTGCACCAACCCATCTCCATGCCCACCCCCAAATGGCTGCACCACCCTGCTTGTCCCCCTCAATCCAGGGGTGCATCCAGATGTTCTTCTGCCATCTGGAGGATTGGGATGCAGAGCGGGGCTGCACCATCCCCATCCTGGGGGGAGGCTCTGCATCCCCCAGCCCTTCCAAGCCCACCTGTGGCTGGCTGGATCCCCCAGTGACCTGCAACCCCCTGAGCCCTGTTCAGGGAGCTGCATCCCCCCAAACTCGCCGTGCCAGATGCAGCTCCATTGAGAAGGGCCGTTCATTGTAACCTGGCCTTTTATAGCTGCCTCGGAGCGGCCGCGGGGCCATGCCAAGAAAGGCTGCAGCCGGCTCAGAATAGCTCTTTTCATGGAGGACATCCTGGGAAGGAACAATGTTCCCGCTCTTGGGATTGTGGGAACTTTGTATTTCTGCCACTCAGGAAATGGGGAGCTGCAGGGCCCGGCCAGGGCGTCTCCCTGCCCCTCGCTTTGCCCTCTCCTGAAAATAGTCCTTGGGATGAGTTTTGAGTATTCCTGTGCTTATAAAGGGAGCTGAAAATGCCTCAGGACGCTTCTCCTCCAGCTGGGAACAGTTATTTCTGGGAGAGCATCAATCACATTTCCCGTTCTCGTCACTGGTGTGCATTTTCCTGCCGCGGAGCTGTTGGTGAGTGGGGCCAGTTTCATTTTCAGGTGGTGCTGCTGCACATGCAGAGCGTGTGAGCAGGGCTGGGCGCAGGGCACGTGGGCTCTGCTCCCTCACGCTTCCCCTCGAGGCTGATTTGTGGTGCTGGGGGCTGGAGGGTGCCCTCCACACCCTTGCGTGGCTGTTCCATGGTGAGAAGGTGGCGAGTTGGATCTGTGGCGAGTCCAGCTGCCTCTGAATGCTCATCCTCCGGGAGAGGGTGGCAGGATTGCGGCACTGGCTCCTGGCACTGCTTGGTGCTGGCAGCTCCTGTGGCTGCAATCAAACAACAAATGCATTTACTGGGACAAATAACCCATTGCCAGATTCCCGTCCCGCTCGGTGCTGGCACCCCAGCAGCAGCAGCAACGCTCAGGTTGGGCAAGAGTTTGAGGGAAGCTGCTGGGGGTGGCTGGGCTGCAGGGCTGGATCCTGCACAAGCCCCAGCTCGCCGTCCTAGCCCGCATCAAAGCCACCGTGGCTGGTCTGTCCTGTCCTGCTCTTCCTCGAGTTCCTGGCCCAGAACCCCAAAACAATCCCAGCACCCCGAAACAACCTCAGCAGCCACAAACAGCCCCGAGGAGGGGCGGGCTTGGTGACGTACAGCTCCTCCAGCAGTCAGCAGGGGATGGAAGCCCCCAGTCCCAACTAGTCCAGGTGTATCCAAGGATTCTCCACTCAGTGCAAGTTAAAGCGACCAGAAGTCCTTTGTCCGACCTGCAGGATGGCCAGGAGCTCCTCACAGGAACAGATGAGGAATAAAATGTAAATTCTGGCGGCTGGATTCCAGCTTTGTGGAGCACAGCGGGCTGGAGCAGGGGGAAGCTCACCCAGCAGCAGGAACTCGCATCCCTGTGGACGTCGCTATTGAAACCTGGGACTGAGCAGAGGAGCGGGAGGCTGCTGTGGCAACTCTGGCATGGATTCACCCGGGATAGCTCCTTCCATGCGGGAAGTGTGCCAGGCAGAAGCAGTGAGGTCGGCATCGTGCCCGTGCTGGGCGGAGGAAGCGCTGGGGAGCGTTTCCCATCGTCGGGCTGGAAAAGCGCGTTGCCACTGGCGACGGCCTTCGGCTGCTTCCCACCGCGTGGCCCAGACGAAGCCCGGCGTTTCCCGCGCCACAAACCTCTCCCGAAGCTGGTGCAAAGCGAGCCTGATATCTCGGAAGGCGAATTCCCTACCCTGGGAATGTCCCACCTGCCCGAGGAGCCGTTCTCACCATGAGCGCCTCGCTTCCCCCCGCGTTTTGCGGAGCATCCCGCCGAGCGTGCCGGCGGCGGGGGCGGTGCGGCGGCGATTCCCGGGTGCCGGGAGGAAGCGGGAGAGCAGCGGCGGGGGATGCTGAGTCACCGGCAGGCTGGCGGCGCTGATAGACGGGGCCCTGCCGGGGTTCGGCCGGGCTGCGGCGGGCGCATGCCCCGCGCTGCCGGCTCGCCGCACGGCCCCGAACTTTGGGCGGCTCTTCTGAGAAGCCGGGCCCGGCGGGGCTGGCGGAGGGCTGATAACATCTCCCCTCGCCTGCAACCTTGCCGGGACGTGCTCGGCAGGGCAGCGGGTGGGCAGAGATAGAGCTCCGCTTCGCGGCGTTATCGCCGGCCCGGCTGCAAACACCATCCCCTGTGCCCGCACGTTCCTCATCGCCCGCTCGCTTCCTCCTGGCCCCTCAGCGTTTTTGTTTTGTCTTTTTTTTTTTTAAATTATTATTTTTCTTTCCCATGACAAATCCGCTTTTCCTCCCCTCCCAGCAGCCGGGGTGCTGCTGCTGCTGGAGTTTCGGGCAAGCAGCAGCGCCTCTGCCGGCGCGGCAGGATCCGGGTGGGTTGGCCGATGTTTCCTTCCTGAGCGGAGTGCACGGCCCCGATAAGTGCCCCGGGCGAGCACGAGGTTCTCTGGTGAGCAGCGGGGCCGGCCCTGGGGAGCACCACTGCCGGCCGAGCCGGGCACGCCGGGCCGGCTGCACGCCAGCCACGGTGCTGCCAGATTGGCCTGGCTGCGAAATCTGCTGGGGGCACAGATACGGTGTGGTTTGCCAGGGCCCGGCAGCTCCTCGGTGCCGCAGGCAGCACAGCATCCCCTCAGGAACTGCTCACCCCGGGCAGCGGGGCCGCCTCTTCTCCGGCCGCTGGGGCCGGGAGGATCTGGCAGCGAGGCAGCTCCATCCCTGGATTTCTGCAGCTTTTCATGTCGCTTCCTCCCCTCCCGCCCCCGTTCCAGTTTTATCAACTCCGTTGAAATCGGTCCCTGGAGGGAAACCCATCGGCGCTGCGGAGCCTTGGCAGGAGCCGAGCGGATGTGGCCGGGCCAGGCGTCCCCGCGGGCGGCGGGCAGCTGCAGGCAGCTGTGCTGGCAGGAAGCCGCGCAGACGCCCCGAGCCGGGACCTGCCCGCTCCCACCGCGCAGGTGGGGAAACTGAGGCACGGCCCAGCCAGGTGGGGATGGGCGTGTAAACAGGGTGGGGGGCTCAGGGTCTGCAAGGCCACTGCTGGTGGCCACAGTGGTTGGTTACATGGCCATGCTGCTCGCTGGGAAGCAGCGTCTCCTGACCATTTCCAATGTATCCATGGGAATGAGGCAGCTTAAAGTGGGGCCTGGTTGACCATAGCGTTTCCCTTGAGGATTCACATTCCAAGTGGGGTGTGCCCACTCCAGCCAGGGTGGGGGACGCATGGGGACCCTGGGGCTGCCCTCACCAGCCCTGTGCTCTGTCTTGCAGCGCGGCCGCCTCGCTGGAGCCTCGGCAATGAATGGGCACTCGCTGCCGGCCGGCACGCCAGCGCATCCCCGGGGCTGGCATGAGTTCTGCGAGCTGCACGCCATCAGCACGGCCAAGGAGCTGGCGCGGCACTACCTGCGCTTCGCCACCGAGCACCCGCACCATGACCTGCTGGCCGCCGAGAACTTCTCGGTGCAGTTCACCGACCTCTTCCAGCAGTACTTCTGCCACGAGGTGAAGGAGGGCATCGCCATGAACCAGCTGCGCATCCTGCCCGCCGGCCCGGCGCGGGATTACCGGGACACGCACCGGCGCCACACCGACGCTTCCCTGGGCACGGTGGCCACCAAAGCCGAGGCGGAGCCCGGTGCCCGCTCTGAGCAGCCCGTCCGAGCCCCCGAGGCCGCTCCCTCTGGGCTGCGCAAGTCCTGGAGCTCGGAGGAGCTGGCGGGGCCGGCTCGGAGGCCGTTCTCGCTCAGCCAGCTGCGCCGGAGCTGGCGCAGCCTCTTCCGACGCCGCTCCTCGGACGCGCTGCCCGGGGATGGCGATGGGGAGGCGGCGGAGGCGGCTCTGAAGCCGGGACTGGGGAAGCGCATCCTGCCCTGGGGGCTGTCGCGGGAGCAGCCCCCCGAGGTGCGCAAGGAGGGGCTGCTCAAGTACGGGCTGCTGGACGAGCATTCCCTGGACAGCGGGACGCGCTGGCAGCGCTGCCGCCTGGTGCTGCGGCGAGCGGCGCCGCCCGACAGCGAGGAATTCGTGCTGGAGCTCTTCGACCCGCCCAAGGTAAGGACCTGCCGCCTCTTGCCTGGTCCTGTGATGCTGAGGGTCCCTCGGCTGGGAATGATGCCTAGATGCCAGAGCATCCCACAGGGAAGAGCAGGGCCACGGTGCAATCAGCACCACGAGGGTTTCTCACCATGAGGGGTTTGCTCTGCCACTGCTCTCCCTCTGCTGCAGCCACACGAGGTTGGGCCTTGTTTGTTTAATATCTCTGAGAAAGAAACCAAGACACCCCTGTGAGTATTGTCTGGGGAGTGAGAGATGCTGAGACCAAGGTGTGCTAATTGCTGCAGTTGGTCAATTTGTCAATGTGTCATTGCATTTCTCCCTGCTGGGAATCCAGAACTGGGTTTTCCAGCTGGAAGCACAGTGCCTGCCTTCTGAGCTGAGGATGGAGGCTGGTGGCCTCCATCCCACTCATCCCAGCCTCATTCCACCAAGGTGTGGGGCAACCCAGTCGGATGAACCCCAAATTCACCCTGTCCCCTGTGCTGTGCCTTTAGCAGCCTGAGCATCTGCTCGCCTGGGCGAGCTGGGAGAGGGAAATAGGAATTAGGCTCTGTGCCTTTCTCTGCTCCCTGTGGGATCCATAGTTTTGCTTCTTGTGAGGAGTTTTGTGACTGGAAGTTCAGCTCTCAGCTGCTGCACGGAGCTCCCGTGGTGCTGAGACGTGGCTGGAGTGGAGATGATGCAGGATGTGAGGGAGTGGGGAGTGATGTGGGGGGAGTTGGGGTGTTTAATCTGTAAAAAGATGGTTCCTCCACACGGCAGGACTTGCACAGGCCGTGATGGGATGAATTTTCTCTCTCTCTCTTCTTTTTTTTGTTCTCGTTTAACTTTGATGACAAACTTGTGCTTTGGAAGGAGGAAACCTCCGGTAGAGCTGGAGCCTTGTCCCTGCCTTCAGGGCAGCAGGGTCAGGGAGCAGCTGGCTGAATTCCTGCTATTTCCGTCAAACGGCTCCAATATTAAATATTTGAAAAAAGAAACAACATCAAAATTGTAACATCTGAAAGTAAAAGCTGCTTTTGCTCCGTCATGTCAAGGGTTGCAGTTGTTTGTCCCCGTGGGAGTGTGTGTCCCCATCCCGGGGCACAGGGAGGTCAGAGGCACTCTGGGGCACTTGGAGGGTCCTCCAGCAGCTGGATAGCACTGTTTTTCCCCCTCCCTCATCCTTTTTCTCCCTTTTCCCCATTTTTTTAAATCCCTTATTCTTTTTTAAAATCCCTTTTATTTTTTTCTTCCCTCTTTTTTTTCCTTCCTTTTTCTTTTTTCACTTCCCCTTTTCTTTTTTCAATTCCCCCCACACTTTTTTTTTTTTTTAACTACCCCCATCTTTTTCTCCCTATCCCCCCCTATTTTTTTGCTCTCCTTCCTTTTTCTTTCTTTGTTTCCCTCCCCCTTGGGAAGCAAGCCCAGCACATTCCTCCTTTCCTCTCCCCACATTCCCTGCCCAGCTTTGACCCAGGGGTGGGAGACACTTCAAACAAGGCACTGACCACGTTTCCCCCGTGCTCTGAGCATTATTCCTTGCAGTCTCCATGGGATGGAGATTTCCTGGAGCTCCACGTCCCCACAGGGCTGGAGACCCCCGAGCCTGGAGCAGGGGGGGGTTTCTCAGCCAGGCCTGCGGAAGCGGGGGGATGTTCCTTGCTGGATTTTTGCGAGTCTCTGGATTAAATTGCTTCCTGTGCAAATATTCTCAGGGCGGCTCCTTCCTTTCCAATTCCCTGGGCCAGGGCCAGCTCCCTTCTCCTTTACAGCACAATCAATCCTGACCCTTTCCCAGTCACTGCGGTTGGATTCCGGGGGTGGAGGAAAATCCCCCACGGTGCTGGTGGCTCCCACTCCCCAAACCCAGCACGGGGCAAACCACGGAGCAGTGAGAACAGAACAGTTTGTTTGGGGGGTTATTTTCCTTTAAAATAACTAAATAACACCCAACAACCCCCTGGGAATGGCTGTGAGGAACCCCTTCCTTGCCATCCTCCTGCCCCAGGATGCTCCCAGGGTTTTTCCACTGCCTTTTCCCCATCTTATGGGTCTGATTTGTGGATGCTGTTGATCACCATAGAAAATTGATGGTTTTAAATAAGCAGCTGTAAAATCTGTTCTTGGGATTTTTCAACTCCAAATGATCTCTGGACTATGAGGTTGGTTACCCTCAGTTCTTCTGGAAACACCCTTCCTTGTCTTCCTTCCCCCTTCCTTGTCTTCCTTCTCCCTTCCTCCTCCTTCCTCCTTTCACCCTATAAATAATAGGATGCAATTGAAATTTCATCTCAGCCTCAGAGCTTTACAGCATAAAACCAAGCCCCCAAACATCCATCCCCTTGGAATGACCCTGGAAAAGGCAGGTGTGTGGAGAAAGGAGGGGGGGTCCTGCTGCTTTTGGCAGCTTTTATCTCCTTTCCCCCCCTTTATCCTCGTGCTCCAATGGGGCCTCTGAGCTTAATCCCATAACGTGCCTGGCATCAAAGGGAGTGGGGGCTTTGAAGAGCCCTGATCCCATTTGCTGCTTGGGTGGCTGTGCTGGGTGAAGGGGTCAGGGAGCTGTGCTGGAGAATGGGGCAACGCCTGTGGCACTGCCTGGAGTGGGCATCCCCTGCCCCAGGTGTGTGCCAGAAGGGATGAGGATTTTGGGAGAGGATTTTGGGAGAGGGAGCAGCTCCCCTTCCCGTGCTCACAGCCACAGCTGGCTTGGTTTTGGCATCGCTCCCTCCTCCCTCCAGCACTGGGAAAATGATGCTGCCAAGGAGGGATTTGGGGGTGATGGGATCTCTCCTGGGAGAGGGTCCCTGCCTGGCTGCAGGGCACAGGATTGGGGGCAACCCTACCCTGGGGGTATTCCAGAGGCTGTGGAAGAGGAGCTGGAATTGAGGGATGTTGGGATGCCTGTAGTGCTTGTATATATGGCTATATATATATATATATATATATATATATATATATGGCTATATATATATATATATATTAAAAAATATATTAAAATATTATATATACACATATAATATATTTATATATGTATATAATATATAATTATATATTATATAAATGGAAATATTCATGTAGAAGGCTATATATATTTATTGTATATATTTATTATATACATTTATATATACACATTTTATTATATATATACTATTTAATTTTATATAGTACATATTATATTATATCTATTTATTATATACACACATATATATTTTATTATATATATTTGTATACATGCACATATATAATATATATTAAAATATATTATACATAAAATATTTATATATAAGGCTATATATATATTTATTTTATATATATATATATATTTTACACACACACATTTTTTCATTTTTTCATATGTGACACAGGGAAACCTGGAAACCTGGGCATGGTCCTGGAGTTGCACCCATGTGGATTCTCTGGTGTCTGCTATGAGGGCAATGTTCACCAGTTCTCCCTGATTTCCTTGGAGGCATTGTTTTCTCCTCTCCCACACCATTTTATCCCATACCACCTTTAGGACTACTTTAGGGTACCCTTTAGAGTAACTCTGAGCTCTCTCCACCTTGATAAATTTCAACCAGAGCTGGCAGACCCAGCTTTGTCAGCTTTGGGGCTGTTCCTCAGCTGAGCCCCAGCCCCAGATCCCTTTTCTGTGGCCGAATCCCAAACTCCACGAGAGCCGTGACTCGCAGCGGAAATGTCCCGAGCCGTTTCTGTTGACCAGATGTTTTTACAGGAAGGGGAAGGGAAATGGGATTTGCATTTGTACTGCTTTCTTTATAGCATTTTAATGAAATCCAGTGCGTCCCACAAATTGATGGCACGCCGGGGCTGGCCCGGAGACTCCTTCCGGAGAGAGCCCTCGGAGCCTCTGCCCCAGCTCAAACATCTTTGCTGAAGCCACGAGAGGAGCAGTATTTTTATCTCTGCTCAGTGTGAGCCTGCTTTGACTTCCTTTTTTTTCTCTCTTTTTTTTTTCTTTTTTTTTTTTTAATTTTTTTTCTCTTTTTTTACACCTTTCACCTGAATCTGGTTTCTGAGAACTGCCACCTCCTGAGCCAGCAGGTTCCTGTCCCCGATTTTTGGTGCTTGGGGCTGTGAGTGGCAGCTGGTCAGGCATGGGATGGGGCACATCCCAGTGTTCTAGTCCCCATTCCCCATCCCTGCTCCTCCTGGAGCTGCTCAAACCTGGTCTGAGTGGCTCAGCCAAGGAAGGGCAGCGGTGGAGGGGGAGTTTTCCTCCCTGGAGCACCTTGGGAAGAGTTTTCCCAGTGATGGGAAGCACCTCAGTGTCCCATCATCCCATCCCTGGTCCAGGAAAGGGCAGGTTTGTGCCAATCTGGATCCACAAGGGATCACATCCCTCTCCTGGCATCTTTTCCTGGCGTTCCTGGGGACTTCATCCCTCTCTTGGTCTCCTTTTTCTGGCATCTCCATGGGCTGCATCCCATTCATGGCGTTCTCCTGGCATTCCCAGGGACTGCATCCCTCTCTTGGCATCTCCATGGGCTGCATCCTGTCCTGGTGCAGCTGAAGATGTCCCTGCTCACTGCAGGGGGTTGGACTCGTTGCCTTTTCGAGATCCTTTCCAACCCAAACTATTCTCTTCTTCTATGATCCCTCTCCAAGCATCCTGCTCCCAGCATCCCTCTCCTGGCATTCCCAGGGACTGCATCCCTTTTTTGGCATTTCCAGGGGCTGTATCCTGATCTGCTTGGTGTCCCTGCTTATTGCAGAGGGGTGGGACTGGGTGGCCTTTGAAGATCCCTTCCAACCCATATTAATCTGTGATTCTGAGATCCTGCTCCAGGCAGCATCCTCCAGGATTGCATCCCTCTTTTGGCAACCCTAAAGATCACACAGCCAGGAGATGGGAAAACATCTGTGATGACCCTGGAGGGGTTTGGGTGTCCTTCAAATCCCTTGGGAGAGGCAAAACCTGCCCTGGAGCTGCCGCAAAACCCTCAGCAGCCTCTCCCCGGGGCAGGGCGGGCGCATCCTCTCTGTTC